ATATAAGGTTAGTAGTTTTGTGAGACCGATACCTGTAAAGTTGTACTTTTTGGTTGAATACTCTTTGTGTGTAGATGAGGTCAGATAAAGTAAGCAAATTGTGTGTGGCCGTTGAGGAGAGCAATGCATGGAAATGGAAAAATACGCAAATTGAACAAAGAATTTCATTTTGTGGTATAGATCAATTGATTGATATAACTACAGAAAAATATCTATTTACCAAAATTTTACTAGAGGATGATAGTGTAGAACCCGCAGGAGATATATATGCATGATTGTGTGTTTGAGCGATGTAAAGAGAAACAAAGAATATATTTTTTGAGCAGTCACCCGGGGGAGAGCTCCCCACATGAACTTGATTTCATTCAAAGAAAAAATTGCTCCAGTTAATTAGGGAATCCGGATAAAAATCTGAACAAATTTAGTGGTTTTTATGCAATATTGGTTGTGATACTTATGATGACTTATTGGCCATGTTCAAGAATTTGTCCAATTAATCAGTTAACTTGCCGATCAATCCCTTGAGGTGTCGCATTAGATATATATGGGACGGCCATATCTTGCCTACATGCATTCTTGGCTTGTGAAGCTGCGTGTAACATGCTTGTGAAGATATTTGGACCGGGGGAACTTGATGCATCCATATCTTGCTTGGATTAATTCGAAGCTGCGTGTGTGTGCTTGCCAATCAGGGATTGATTGGTGTATATGCTTCGCAAAGATGCCATTCGTGTTTATGCTTGTGAAGATGCCATTCTCTGTCGAATGGCTCGGATCAGCCATGTATATGTGACTTTTTCCCCATGAGAAATCACCTTAGCGACAAAAAAAATCTGAATTTTTTGAATATGAATGAAATTTTGATAATGTTTATCCGGAATCCAAATATATCTATCTATTATATATTAAAAGTAATATACGATGAACTAAGAGCAAGAGAATTAGCAAAGAAAATCCCATGTTAATCAGAAAATACCGGCCTTGATCTTGCAAATATTTATTATAAAATGTTCTTAGGCATTCAATCTTCGGAACAACATAAATTTGGTGGACCCAGGCACAAACTCCAAATAAAGTCTTGTATCCAACACGTCTAAGAAACACGTTTACCTAGCTACTAGGCATCCATGTTTATAAAAAAACTACTACGCGGCCACGTTTAGAAAAAAAACCTACTAGGTGTCCAACACGTCTACAATACATTGAGATCTTCCATATGTATATGTTCCTATGTTCAATACGCGCAAAATATTAATCTCTTCCCTTCATAAGAAAATATTGACCTATTCAAAAGTCTGGACCATCTCTTCTATATATGAAAACAAAAGTATATTTTTTTCAAACATCAAAAATAAAAAATCTTAGAATAATACGATAGCCAACTAGTTGGTTAAATGCACAGCCACAAAATTTCATGGAAAATATTCACAACTTTTTCTGACACAGAATGATAAACTTTTTTTCCACATTCAATACGATAAGAGGCTATGCATTCATGTGCAGTTCGTGCCTTCTAGATTTGAATTGATAGAGTTTGTGTTGTAAACGACCACACAATAGACAAAATCCCACATCCCACGTATGTCTTATCAATTCTCCATGTAGTACCTCCTTATGTCGACTGCGACAACACCTTACCCACTAAAAATAGGTGGGCCGAGCGAAGCTTGCGATATCATTGGTCCACACATGCCGCCAACATCATTTTTGGCCGCCAGGATGCGTTGTGTAAAAGTGCACTGCACAGACTGACACATCTTGATGGCCTGACCACCATATGCTCTTTTACGGTTTCACCTACACCACAGGGCTGCAAGTCACACAGTCGCGAGGGAATTTGCCGCCATGCCTTCTTCCAATTCTTTTAAGCAAAAGCGAACCAAAGTGTGTGTTATGGAGTGATAAAAGGACAACATGCGGGCAAGGGGTTTATATTTCAAGAATAATCAGTTCACCAACCAACCTTCAGCCTAAAGCCAAGACAACATTCTATCCAGTGTAAGTCTCGGGAGAATCCATATAAAAGATAGGACCATGTCCACCAAAACAGTTTTCACATGGAGAGCTTTCAAGAATGGACAATGCAGCTGTGGAGATTTTTGGTGACAGCAAAACTAGAGTCTGGTCCATGACCTCTCAGTTTTGTCTTGTACTATCAGTCATTCAGTTGCATGTCTTGAATAGTGGAGCATTTAAAACTTCATCAGAATGCCCTTTGAGGTGCCAAGTTTCTACGTCCCAGCAAGTTTTGCCCCCACAAAGGGTTATCCAAAGTGATGGTGTCATGAAGTCAAAAGGAAAACCCCAAGGTATGTAAAGGTGCCATCCAAATTGAAACAAATTCAATACAATGATGGAATGATCTAAACAAGATCTGATTCTGTAGATTTCAGTTGCAAACCAAGTTGACACTGAACTGCTGTTGGCGTTGGTGCTTTCGCTCTAGGTCACGGGAAACTATTGACAATATTACAAAGGATTTGGTATGCAGTCAAGCTAGAATGACACAAACAGAACTTGCATCTCTAGTAGAAATCTCAGAGGTGCATGCTTAGTATCATCAGTTGTAGAATTCTGAACTACCAGTTAGTCCAGTTGATGAAACAAAATGGCGTCTTGAATATGATCCTGTGCACTTCCCTAACCTGGAGACTGGAAAAGGCAATCAGCACATGAAGGTAGGCTCTTAAGCATCATATAATAGTTTGTCCAGTTTCTCAACCTTTCTCTCAATATCATTACTGGCTTGCAGCTCAAATACATCATCAGAGGCCTAATGCTACCTTATTACAGGAGAACATGGATATCCTGGGTATTGATTTCTACTCCGAGGTATTGATTGCAGCTCAAAAACATTATGCAGCTCAAGAATTATGGAACGGAGGGAGTATATTGGATTTGGTGAGCAAAATATTCCTGGGATCCTTGCCCCAGCCCTAATTAGGAAGACAAGAAGTTCATTAGAGCTACAGTACTAGAAAGTGTGATCATCATTTGTAAAATGGTTGAGCTTTTAGATGCTGGGGATAGGCATCTGGGGGCCAAGACCTCTCCCCTGTCGGTTAAGGGTGTTCCTCAAAGACTTTTCTTCCATTGTTTGAATTATTTCAGTGAAAGAGCTCTCCCGTAGTACATGCCAATTGGCCTGGCCGAGCCTGACCATCTTCTGAAAATGGCATCATGTCTTTCGTTTCACTGAAGCACTTGCTGATCCATAATATTTTTCTCATTTTCTGCAGGCATTCTCTCTTCTTTGTTGCACCTTTGAGTGCACGATGATGATAAAAGACCTTGGAGGCAGTCACTCAGCAAGCCCGTCTAGCTCAGTTGGTAGAGC